CTGCTGTAGTTTTTAACTGAAACATACAATAAAATACAGCAGTAGGTAGATCATTACTGCCAAACTGCTGTAGTTTTTAACTGAAACATACAATAAAATACAGCAGTAGGTAGATCATTACTGCCAAACTGTTGTAGTTTTTAACTGAAACATACAATAAAATACAGCAGTAGGTAGATCATTACTGACAAACTGCTGTAGTTTTTAACTGAAACATACAATAAAATACTTACGGCAGTAGGTAGATCATTACTGACAAACTGTTGTAGTTTTTAACTGAAACATACAATAAAATACAGCAGTAGGTAGATCATTACTGACAAACTGCTGTAGTTTTTAACTGAAACATACAATAAAATACTTACGGCAGTAGGTAGACCATTACTGACAAACTGTTGTAGTTTTTAACTGAAACATACAATAAAATACTTACGGCAGTAGGTAGATCATTACTGACAAACTGTTGTAGTTTTTAACTGAAACATACAATAAAATACTTACAGCAGTAGGTAGATCATTACTGACAAACTGTTGTAGTTTTTAACTGAAACATACAATAAAATACTTACGGCAATAGGTAGCTCATTTTCTTTGTTCTGAGCTTCAACATCTGCTCCTCGTGCAAGAAAAAGGCTATAGAAATTGAAATAAGTTTACAACTTGTTTGTTTGTAAATGTAAACTTAACTACTAGTACTTGCTCATTCATTCTTTTAATAATATTATATGATAATGTAACCATAGTAATGAAATTCAACAATTCAGAATTTTCTTTCAGCACTTACAAAAGTATCATACGAAACAATGAAAACATGTTTACAGTGTCATGTTGTAACAATAGGCCTCCACATTAAAACATTACACACACACACACATTCATAGAGTATTGGAAATAATTATGTAAACAATAGGGGAAAAGCACATAAAAGGCAAATAATAAGGGAATGTCACCCCCTTTATCATGTGAAAATGAGCAGCACCACATTAGAAGTCGCATCCCGATAGTTTACATTGAGTGGTTACCATCCAACCAATCAGAGTATTACACAAGAAAAATAAAACATAAAAGCAGTCATACTACGCCCAGTAGTAATAGTACCAGTTTGACCAATCAAATATTCAATAGGGCACTGACAAGATGAAGTGCAGTTAATTCCCTTACAATCTTAGACCTTCACTACCACAGTAAAATCCTTTCAAATTTTTTTTTGTTACAAAATTAACTTTACAAAATAAAATAAAATAATGTAATGAATGAATAATTAATGCAATGCTGTCTTAAATAATCTATTAAAAATCAAATCTTAAGTGTTTAGAAGTGAATATTCTTTTGATACTTACACTACAGAATCATAATTATCTTGTCGAGATGCAATGTGCCTGGAAAAAACGTCCAAGGTTTTTATATTACACATAATTGTTTATTACTTACAAAAAAAAAGAATATAACCCTGTAAATATAAACATGTAGTTTTACATGGTTACAGCCAACCCAAAATAGTTTTACAGACAGTAAAAGATCATACTAAGTAGATTGCCTCACCTAATTGCACGTAATAGCAAATAATAATAATAATACACAATTATTAACAAAATCAGTGCACAATATTTCTCATCACAGTAACAGTTAAACACAATTAACTTCTAGGCAATAGCTCACACAAATGTGTGTTAACAATAAAACAATCACTACCGGTTTGTGCACTAACCAACGAAATGTATTATGTACAACCATCAAAAAGTGGCTTACAAGGGTGTATCGCCATGTTCATTTACAGCTCCTAAATCACAACCAATATCCAAAAACAGCTGAGAAATCTCCAAACATCCAGAAAATGCTGACCAGTGTAGTGCTACATTTTCTTCCTAGAGTTTAAAAACAAGTATTTTTAGTTAGAATCAATAAAAGCAATAAATTTCTAAAAATATGTGACTGATAATAAAACAATGTAGGTGATTTTATAACACACACATACACAAGTGAAACAATTTCAAGTTACCAGATGAATAGCACTTACATTATCTCTTAAGTTAGGATCTGCTCCTCGCTCCAATAACAGTCTTACAACAACCGGCTTGCTGTGTTCCGAGGCCCAGATGACTGGAGTCCATCCTCCGTCATCCTAAAGGTAAAAAGAAAAAAAAACTTACCTTTCTGATCTAAAGCCGAGGTTATTGAGGTGACAGAAAACCATTTTTCTTAACTGAAATTTGATAATTTACTTACAAATATGGTTTCTTTTTATTAAAAATAAATACGAAGTCCAATGTATCACTTGATTGTCACTGAGTTACACCAACTTCAGAGAATTCCATCAGTAATCCTGATCAAACATGACTAGGCCTTGTTATTCAGATTTAATATGTTAATATCTTTTCTGCTTAATAATTTAGAAAAATTTATAAGTAGCAAGATATTCATCAAATCCTAGATACGTTCGCTGCGGCAAGTGAAAGACAACTAAAACATCATATATATAAACCTTCTTATTTTAGAACTTATTAAATAATAAGTTTGTCATTCCACTGCAGTTAAGACTGATAAAGAAAGATGTAATTAAACTTAATACTATGATGTAGCATCACATCTACTAAACTTAATACTATGATGTAGCATCACATCTACTAAAGTTAATACTATGATGTAGCATCACATCTACTAAACTTAATACTATGATGTAGCATCACATCTACTACCAGCTAACAGATCATACTTCACCAGTACAGATGTTACGTACCAATTTAAAGACTTAAGATTTGTTTTGTGAAGCTTATACCACAACAAATTCTTCAAAATAAGACCTTCTACAGAAAACTAATTGGCATGATATTTGCTTATAAAATACATATCATGATACTCATTGATATTAATGTTCGTATATTAATGCCTAACTCCACCATATTCCAGACTGGTAACAAACTAAGCCTATTTAATTCACACACACACACTCAAATACTTTATATCAAAGCTGATGTACTTAAACACAATGTAAATATCTCTTTTACTTCAGCAGCTTTTCATATTAGATATTCAAAAACCCTTACCTGAATATTAACGTTAATTCTTCCCGTGTCCAATAACACTTTGCATATTTCAACACTACCACACCTAGCAGCCAGATGTAGAGCTGTCATTCCATCTTCTCCCTGTGAAGATCGATTTGGTATCTCAAATACTTGGAAACTAAGATACTACTTAATGAAATCTACCCTACCAAAATTAGACACTTACAAATTTCAGAACATCAACAAAATTATATTACACTTAAGGCCTTAACCACAAAATCAACCTTTTCCAGACTGGAGTGGTGTCACTGAAATCCCTTGATGTTTTTCTTTCCTCACATTGAAAATAATTAATGTAATTCCACCTAATAAAAGGTTAATTTAGTTATTTTGTCATTTTTAAGGTTGTGAAATTTCCAAAATTTTGTTGTGAGACTGTTTTCAAAAAACAAACAAAACATTCAAGATACTTCCTTTTGTCTCAAAATTGTACCCTTTTTTTTTATTACCATTAATCAAAAACCACCATTCCTTTTAAAACAGTTAGGTTTAACCTGATTGATACTTAACATTTTTCTCCATTTTGTCAGTAGCAGCATCTGTCACTTCTAGTTATAAATCATTAAAACTGACAGATTTACATGCAACCAACAAACCTGACTTTTCACAATGATTTCACCATTACTTCTGTCATGTTAGGCAACAATATTTTTGTTAATAATATTCTTAACAATAAATAATAAGCTATTTTATTTAAGTGCACTGTTTAGTTAAGGTAATGTTAACAACAATATTTTTGCTAATAATATTCTTGGATGAGAATATTCTTAACAATAAATAATAAGCCATTTTATTTAAGTGCACTGTTTAGTTAAGGTAAAGTTAACAACAATATTTTTGCTAATAATATTCTTGGATGAGAATATTCTTAACAATAAATAATAAGCTATTTTATTTAAGTGCACTGTTTAGTTAAGGTAAAGTTAACAACAATATTTTTGCTAATAATATTCTTGGATGAGAATATTCTTAACAATAAATAATAAGCTAATCACAGGGATGTTATATACTCATAAGCTTACGATGTTCTGGTTGTGATCAGTTAAAAACCTATATTACAAAAGTAGGTAACTAATCACAGGGATGTTATATACTCATAAGCTTACGATGTTCAGGTTGTGATCAGTTAAAAAACCTATATTACAAAAGTAGGTAACTAATCACAGGGATGTTATATACTCATAAGCTTATGATGTTCTGGTTGTGATCAGTTAAAAACCTATATTACAAAAGTAGGTAACTAATTACAGGGATGTTATATACTCATAAGCTTATGATGTTCTGGTTGTGATCAGTTAAAAACCTTTATTAGTAGGTAACTAATCACAGGGATGTTATATACTCATAAACTTACGATGTTCTGGTTGTGATCAGTTAAAAACCTTTATTACAAAAGTAGGTAACTAATCACAGGGATGTTATATACTCATAAGCTTACGATGTTCTGGTTGTGATCAGTTAAAAACCTTTATTACAAAAGTAGGTAACTAATCACAGGGATGTTATATACTCATAAGATTACGATGTTCTGGTTGTGATAAGTTAAAAACCTTTATTACAAAAGTAGGTAACTAATCACAGGGATGTTATATACTCATAAACTTACGGCGTTCTGGTTGTGATAAGTTAAAAACCTTTATTACAAAAGTAGGTAACTA